GGTTTAATCTGTTTTCAGTTCTGATTTGGTTCAAGTTTTGAGAATCGGTTCAGGTTTTAATCTGTTTTCAGTCCTGATTTGGTTCAGGTTTAATCTGTTTTCAGTCCTGATTTGGTTCAGGTTTAATCTGTTTTCAGTCCTGATTTGGTTCAGGTTTAATCTGTTTTCAGTCCTGATTTGGTTCAGGTTTAATCTGTTTTCAGTCCTGATTTGGTTCAGGTTTAATCTGTTTTCAGTCCTGATTTGGTTCAGGTTTAATCTGTTTTCAGTCCTGATTTGGTTCAGGTTTAATCTGTTTTCAGTCCTGATTTGGTTTAGGTTTAATCTGTTTTCAGTCCTGATTTGGTTTAGGTTTTGATCTGTTTTCAGTCCTGAATCGGTTCAGGTTTAATCTGTTTTCAGTCCTGATTTGGTTTAGGTTTTGATCTGTTTTCAGTCCTGAATCGGTTCAGGTTTAATCTGTTTTCAGTCCTGATTTGGTTTAGGTTTTGATCTGTTTTCAGTCCAGATTCAGTTCAGGATTTTATCTGTTCATAGTATGAATGATGTTGTTCATATGATTCAGTTCAACATTTGATTTGTTTACAGTCCTTATTCAGTTCAGAGTTTGATCTGTTTTCAATGCTGATTCATGTATTCCAGTGTGAATGTAGATGTGGTTCTTCTTCAGTCCGAGTTCGTTTTTAGATGAACTCTCAGTCTGATTGATGGGGTTGTTCATATTGAGTCGGTTCAGGGTTTTGATCCATTTTTTTTTAGTCCTGGTTGGGCAGTTCCAGTGTGAACACAGCTGTGGTGTGTGTGTTGTCTTCCTCAGTCTGATGGAGCAGAGACAGATGAGGTTTTCAGATCTCCTCTTCATCCATCACTGCTGGTGTTTATTAGTTATTGCTCCGTCAGTGTTGTGCTCTTCACGTGAGAGTGCAGCAGCTGTGCCGTTATTTATGGGATGGTGAAAGGTCAGCAGCGGATGAGGATCAGCCAATCCGGCACAGCGCAGCGGCCCATGACAGCTCTGACTTTTGATAGAGGGTGAATCGTCTTCTGGACGCCAGAGATGAGATTATGTGCTGTTCAGATGCTGGTCTCTCCGTGTTTAGGGCACTCCGATCTGCTCTGCACAGGCCGCTGCTCACAGTGAAGCAGAGCTGACGTCCGTTCATCACTGCCTCTGCACCGCTGCTCGCCCTGACCTTTACACTGACCCACACACATCTACCGCAGCAAGCCATGCATTTCACTCCAGGATTTCATCTTCATTTGCTTTTTTCCCCATTTCATGTCTTTGTAGTGTTGTGTCCACTAACTGTAGATTTAGTTTATTTTATTGCATTGCATATTTTATTCCATTTTATAGCATTGCATTGCATTGCATGTTTTATTTGATTTTATTGCGTATTTTATTTCTTTTTCACTTACGCTTTAATTTATTGCCTTGCATGCTTTATTTAATTGCATTGAATTTTTTTAATTGCATTGCATATTTTATTTATTATTAATATTATTTTATTGCATTTTATTATTTCATCATTTTTAAATGATTGCACTTAATTTTATGTTGTTGCATTGTATATTTAATTGCATTGCATAGTTTTTATTATTTTTATTTTTAATTGCATTGCATATATTTTTATTTAATAATTTTTAATTACATTGCACATTTGTTCATTATTAATATTATTTTACTGCATTTTTATTATTACATTTTAATTCATTGCATTGCATGCTTTTTTATTGCATTTCATATTTAATTGCATTGAACTTTTTAAATTGCATTGCATATTTTATTTATTATCAATATTATTTTGTTGCATTGTATACTTAATTGCATTGCATATTTTTATTATTTTTATTTTTAATCGCATTGCATAAATCTATTGCATGCTTTATGTTATTGCATTACATATTTAATTGCATTGCTTTTTGAAATTATTACTATTATTATTTTATTGCATTATTTATTAGTGCATTAGTGCATATTTAATTGCATTGCATATCTTATTTTTTATTTAACTATTGCATTTTATTTTGTTGCATCGCATGTTTTATTTTGATTGCATATTTTACTTTATTGTAATTTATTTCATGTTTTATATTATTGCGTTACATATTTAATTGCATTGTATTGCATTGCATATTATTAATATTTTTTTTCATTAATTTATTAATTTTTTATAATATTGCATTGCATATTTAATTGCATTGCATTTCATATTTTATTTTATTTCATTGCACTTTATTGCATTGTTGTCATCTATCTGCTGCAAATATTGTGAATTCTGTTTGCAATCAAATAAATAGTTCTAGTTTTAGTTCACTTAAATGCAACAATTCATCTTATTATTATCAAATATTATAAAAGAGTTTTATTTATATTTTATAAGTAGTTTATTTTTAGGTTTTTCCTTCCACATTTAAAGTCAAATATTTTTTTTCTGGTGTCTTTTGTCTGTATTTAAAAGAGTATTTTCTTCAGATTTACTGTAAGAGTGTGTGTGTTTGTGTTTGTATCGCACTCTGCTTTCTGCCATATGAGAAAATGCCTGTTATTGACATCATACGCTTAGCCTGCGGATTAATTTGAGTATGTAAATGTAATTGAATTTGATACAGTTAATCTCGTCCTAATGCCGAATGCCGAAAGATGCGAGGAGCAATCAAATTGTGCTCAGGCCTTTCATTTGCATCTTAGTTTTCAATAAAACGAGTCAGTGTGTAATTATGTGACCCGGCCGGTAATTAGTTTACTCATCGCTGCAGTTCACTCTCCATTAGAGAGAGCCTTAATTAGTCTCTCATTTAATAAGCAGAAGAGTCATGTGAGGCAAATCAGCCTCCGGATTGGAGGATCACAGCTGCACTGAACTCACTCACTCCAGAAAATAAACTCCAATCACAAAATCTAATCTCTCTTGATTTCTGAAGGTACTCGCTGAATCATATCTGCAAGAAAAAACAATACAACACGTTATATACTTCATCATTTATTTTAATAGTTTAAATATTTAAAAATGTGGCACAGTGGAGCAGTGGTGTCGCACTGTGGCCTCACAGCAAGAAGGTCGCTGGTTTGAGTCTCGGCTGGGTCAGTTGGTGTTTCTGTGTGGAGTTTGCATGTTCTCCCCGTGTTGGCGTGGGTTTCCTCCGGGTGCTCCGGTTTCCCCCACAGTCCAAACACATGCGCTATAGGGGAACTGATCAACTATCAGTTCAACTGTAAGACGGCGGCACACTGGCTCAGTGGTTAGCACCATCACCTCACAGCAAGAAGGTCACTGGTTCGAGTCCCGGCTGGGTCAGTTGGTGTTTCTGTGTGGAGTTTGCATGTTTGCGTGTTGGTAACCCTAACCTAACCCGGATGCTCTGGTTTCCCCCACAGTCCAAACACATGCGCTATAGATGAACTGATCTACTACACTAACCATAGTGTATGAGTGTGTGTGAATAAGTGTGTATGGGTGTTTCCCAGTATTAGGTTGCAGCTGGAAGGGCATCCACTGTGTATAATGTATGCTGGAATAGTTGGCGGTTCATTCCACTGTGGCGACCCCTGATAAATAAAGGGACCAAGCCGAAGGAAAGTTAATTATTTAGATTTTTTAAAAATTACTTTTTAATTATTTTATTAGTGTATTATCTTATTATATTAATTAATTAATTATAATATAATTATAATTTATTATTTATTAACAATTTTATTGTTAAATATTGTAGCGTTCTGTTATTGTTTTAAATATATAAATATTCTTAGTATTTCAAAATAATTTTTATGTAAGTATTACACTTTATTATATTAATAATTAGCTATATTTTATTATTGCATATATTTGTATATTTTTAAATGTGTACATGTTAAATGATTATTATCAATTGTATATTATTTTTCATTTATATTCATTATATTATACATTTCTGTATAGTATATATTTTTATTGTTTTATATAATTTTAAATATTCATACTTAGTTATTTTTATAAATGTATTATACTTTATTATTATATTAGTTAAGAATTTTTATCTAGAGAGACTTTAAATTAAAAAAAAAAAAAAAAAAATATATATATATATATATATATATATATATATATATATATATATTTTTTTTTTTTTTTTTTTAATTTAGAGTCTCTCTAGATAAAAATTCTTAACTAATATAATAATAAAGTATAATACATTTATAAAAATAACTAAGTGTGTATATTTAAAATTATATAAAACAATGAAAATATATACGGGCGCGGGGCGCGGATTCTCTGGCCCTCGTTTTACAAAATTAGAGAAAAGTGATATGTATGAAAATATGGGAGAAATAAAG